CATGTGAGGAAGGAAATTGTGTTTCTTCACGTTTTTGTAAGTTAGGCAATTTCAGGCATTTTTTACTTTCCTTACTTACTATATCTTCTTTACTCCATTCTTCCTCACCCATGTCTCCCTTTCTCCCTTTTTCTCTCTCTCTCGTTCTTTCCCTCTCTTCCTCTCTACCACTTTCCCTTTGTTCCTCTGTTCCTCTCTCCCTTTCTCTATCTTACCCTCTCCCCTTCTCCCCAATTCCCCTTTCTCCCTTTCCCTCTCATCCTCTCTCCCTTTCTCCATCTTACCCTCTCCTCTTCTCCTTTCTCCCTCTCCCTCTTTCACATTTTCCCTCTCTCCCTTTCTCCACCTTCCCCTCTCTTCTCAATTCTCCTTTCTCCCTCTCCCTCTCTCACACTTTCCCTCTCTCCCTTTCTCCACCTTCCCCTCTCCCCTTCTCCTCAATTCCCCTTTCTCTCTTTCACACTTTCCCTCTCTCCCTTTCTCCACCTTCCTCTCTCCTCTTCTCCCTTTTCCCTCTTTTTCCTTCGCCTAATAAGTAGTTGGCATAACCGATCCATTCGCAACGGGAGATGGAGTGACAGGCGAGAAGCCATGGGATTTGTGGAGACGAACTGCTCTTTGCATGAATCTTCGTCTCCCGTTATTCGTACGTTGCTGTGGCTTTTAAGGGGGGAGGGGGTGTATTTGTGCCATGTTGGTTCTCTTATGTCTGTGTATTTGTTTGTCTGTGTGTTTGGTGTATCGGTCTTAAGTCTTTTTCTTTCTTGAATGAATGATCTTTTTCGTTCTGTCTTTCTTAGAGTTATTTTTTTCTTTCTCTTTCTTCCTTTAAGTATCATTTCTTTCTTTCTCTTTCTTTTTTCTGCCTTTCTCCCTTCTCTCTCTCTCTCTCTCTCTCTCTCTCTCTCTCTCTCTCTCTCTCTCTCTCTCTCTCTCTCTCTCTCTCTCTCTCTCTCTTTATCTCTTTCTCTCTTTCTCTCTCTCTCTTATCATGTGTATCTTACTCAGTGTCAATATGTCATGCACAGAACGAGTAAAAGACATATCGGTTATTCCTCTAAACGTCGCTCTTCAAACGATAGAGAAAATAAACAGAAGTTGGCAGAAAGAAAGAGAAAATATAAAAGTCCATAAAAAAAAAATCTTTTTGTAAACTTGTACAAACTCCCCACATAAATTTCTCCGCCACCCCATCAGCCCTTGTAAGAAAGAGTCAATATTGGCAAATCATACTGGGAAAAAAGGGCGGAAAAGGTGTTAAGAAGATATCGAACCCAGGGACCGGTCGCCGTGTTTACTCATCCAAGCCCGTTCGCCACGTTTGTTTGCACGCGGTGTTCCTAGGGGTGGCCGCGACCTCGTCTTCTGCTTAGACTCGGCTCGCCCCCTCCGCCGCCCTCTCTTTCTCTTTCTCGCTTTCTCTCTCTTTCTCTTTCTCTTTCTTGCTTTCTATCTCTCTTTCTCTTTCTCTCTCGCTTTCTCTTTCTCTCTTGCTTTCTCTCTCTCTCTCTCTCTCTCTCTCTCTCTCTCTCTCTCTCTCTCTCTCTCTCTCTCTCTCTCTCTCTCTCTCTCTCTCTCTCTCTCTTTTCCCTCTTCCACTCTTACTCGTTCTATCTCTATTCCTCTCTCTTCCGAGCGAGAGGCCGAGTGATAGACAAAATAATAATTAGAGTAGAGAAAATGTATCGGATGGAAGTAAATAAGGAAAAGAAGAGGAGGAAGAGGAGGGGGAGAGAGGGCTGCGGGAAGGGACCGAGGGCCGCCAGGCCTTGCCCACGGAAATGAAGCCGCCATTAATTCGCGGCGGAATTCCCCCAGCGAAGAGTGGAGCATCTGTAAGTACTCGAGGACAAAGCCAAAACAATCCAAACACTCGCCCCGAGAATCCTCCCGACCCACAAACCGGCTCAGCCCCGCGTCCACGAAAACGAATACGGTGTGCAAACAACGGCCAAGTGCGCTCCGAGTTGGGGCTGAGCTAACGCAGCTTCTGTCTGGCGGTGTTTACATTTGTTGTTTACCCTGCACGTTTACCCGCACTCCCCCGCCCCCCCTTCCTTTCTCCCCTCCCCCTTCCTCCTCCTCTCCTCTCCCCTCCCCCCCTCTTCCTCCTCTCCCTCCCCCTCTTCCTCCTCTCCCCTCCCCCCCTCTTCCTCCTCTCCCCTCCCCCCCTCTTCCTCCTCTCTTCTCCCCCCTCCCCCTCTCCTTGCCCGACGGCCGTGCCACCTAGCGGACGAAATGGGAATGAGGAGTCGACAGCGTGGTGGCGCAGTTTTCTAAAATGTCTTTTTTTTCTCTCTTCTATTTATTCTTTCACTCTCTTCTGTTGCACACGGAGGCGTGTATTCATGTCGTTATTAAGGCATTTCTCGCTCTTAATTTAGTGTGAGGTGCCGGAAACCCATTAAAAAAGGCACAGAGGAGTGAAAGCCTCTATTGTTCTCGAGCCTCTTGGGTGAAAATAGTCGGGTGTTTTCACAGCGGGCAAGTCATACAAACAGTCGCATTTTTTGGGTCTCCGAACTCGGCGTAGAGTGTACACAAATGTACGTGTGTGTGTGTGTGTGTGTGTGTGTCTGTGTCTGTGTCTGTGTGTGTGCTTGCATGCGTTCGTGCGTGTATGTGTCTGTGTCTGCGTCTGTATTTGTATCTGTATTTGTTTATGTCTATGATTTTGCCTGTTTATGTTTGTGTGTCTCTGTGTCTATCTGTTCCTCTGTCCGCCAATATCAGAAAGACCGAAAGAGAACGAGAAAGAGAAAGGGAAAGGGAAAGAAAGATAACAAGAGAGAGGGGGATTTGATGTGTGTGGCCTGAGGAATCTTTGTTCGAACCAATTGTTTTTGCAGACAA